GTCCCGCCCGCCCGTAGTAGGACCCGCCCGCCCGATTCGCCCGCCAAGTCGGTGATGCACCGTGTTTTTTCACGTGGCGCCCGCCTGGGCGGCCCCCCGACCCTTTCTCACCCGACCCCCTATTACTGAGGGAACCCATGCCAAGAAACACCCCGCTTGCCAGGGTGCCCTGTTTTTCTCGGGTTTCGATGGCTTTGCCATGGGAAGCATGACGTGCCCACACCAAAAATCGATGGACGCCCTGGGGGTTCAGGGCTGTTTTTTTTGTGGAGGGTTTCTTATGGACTGGCCTCCACTGCAGGGTCCGCCCGCCCGACCCGACCCGCCCGTGGGAGTCTGCCCGCCCGGCCCGGTCCGCCCGCCCGATGTGCCGGCCAGTTCGATGCTTCCTCTCGCTTCGCGGGGTGCACGTCCGGACTGCGGAGAGCACGGCCGTTTGGGACTTCCTTGGAGTGTTTTGGAAGCTTCTTGGGGACCTCTGTGGGGCGTGCTGGGGCCTCCTGGGGGCCTGACGGAGGCAATTCTTTGGCTCCCTGGCGGTGCGGGCGTCACCAGGGGGTGGGGCGGATGGGGCCGGTCACGTCACGAGTCGCGCCCGCGGAGGGTGGACGGAGGGGCCCAGTTGACGTTTGGATTGGAAGCGGCTCGTCTTGGGGCCACTTGGAGCCGTCTTAGGGCTACATCGGGCCGTCTTGCAGCAAGTTTAGCCGTCTTGAGGCCTTATTGGAGCCCTCGGGGTCGACATCTTAGATTTTCCATACGTTCCCTGCCTCCGCGGCCGCCTCCTCTTCCGTTCCTCGTCGACGGCACGATCCGGCGAATGAGTTGCTTCCGCTCCTCAGTTTCCCTCTGCACGCGTTTGAGCTTTGCGACGCCGCCGATAAAAGTCAGCACAAGGTAACGCCAAGTTCAAATCCCGATGAGCATTGCAACCAGGCGACAGTAATTGACAACTGCGGGGGCCTCCTGGTGGTTGGGGCCGTTAGGGGGCTTCTTGGGGGCCTTTTGGAGGCCTCTTGGGGGTCCCTGGGGGCCTCTTGTGGGCCTCTGTGGGGCCTCTTGGGGCCTCTTGAGGGTCTCTTGGAGGGCCTCTTGGGGGACTCTTGCGCCTTCGGGGTCTCTTGGGGCCTTAGGGTGCTCTTGAGGGGCTCTTGCTCCATCCGGCCCCTCTGGAGGCCGTCTTGGGGGCCTTTGGAGACCGTCTTGAGGGCCTCTTGGCCCGTCTTGGCGGCCTCTTTGGGCCGTTTTGGGGCCCTGTTGTGCCGTCTTGGGGCCCTCTCGGAGGTTTCTTGGGCCGTCTTGGGGCCATCTTGGAGGCTGCTTGGGTCGTCAAGGGCCTCTGAGAGACGATCGAGGCGAGAACGCTAAAATCTTTCAAACACCATAGGACAATCTATGTGTTTGGCTTCTGGAGGCGCTTTTCGGGGTCCTCTTGGGGCCCCCTCGGGCCTTCTTGGGGGTTTTGGGGCTCTCTTGGGGCCATCTTGGGCCGTCGTGGGGCCGTCTTAGCCCGTACTGAAACCATCTTGAGCCGTCTCGCAATAGACCCCAGGGCCTCGACTCATCGATTTTTCATCGGTTTGTGTAGGTTTTGAGGCCCAGAAGGGGTCCGCCATCTTTGTGTCGACGGATGTGGTGTGACTCCAGGGGGGGGAGAAGACATAATAATGTAACACAATGCAATATGTGGTAAGTATGAAATCATTGGATAGATTGTGTACGTTGTATTAGGGCTTCCGCTCCGCTGCGCGACCTGTCTCTGGCAACACGTCACTTCCAGATGTGGATTCCTCTCGCTTCGCGGGGTGCACGTCTGGAGTACGTACAGTCAAGTTGTTTTGGGGGTTCTCGGGAGTCTCTTGGGGACTTCTTTGGGGTCTCTTTGGGCTTCTTGGGGGCGTCTTGAGCTGTACTGGGCGCTGTTGTGCCGTTCGGCCCCTGCGGAGGCCGAATTGGGGGCCTCTCGCGGCCGCTTGGGGGCTCTCTTGGGGTCTTCTTGGGCCGTCTCGGGAGCCCCTTGGGCCGTCTTGGGGACCTCTTTGGGCCGTCTTGGGGCTCTATGGGGCCGTCTCGGGGTCCTCTCGGGCGTTTCTTGAGCCGGCATGGGGCGATTTTGGAGGCTGCTTGGGTCGTCAGGAGTCGAAAAAAGCGAGAACGCGAAAATCTTTCAAAACACTTCGGATAATCAATGATATGGGCTTGCGGAGGCGCTATTGGGGCTCCTCTGGGGGCCCTCTTTGGCCGTCTTGGGCGCTTTTTGGCCCTTCTTGGGGCCATCTTGGGCCGTCTCGCGGCCGTCGTGGGCCGTCTAGAGCCCATCGTGAGCCCTTTTGAGGCCCTCTTGGGTCCCCGGGAGGGCCTCGGAGCCCAAATCATAGATTTCCATCGGTTTGGGGTTTTTTAAAGCCCAGAAGAGGTCCACCATCTTTGGGTCGGTGGATGTGGCGTGGCCCCTGGGGGTGATTGGGGGGGAGACATTATAATGTAACACGTTGCAATATGTAGCAATTCTGCAATAATCGGATACATTGGTTACGTTGCATTAAGGCGATCGCTGGAAAACGTTGCCGCTCAGCACGTCACCTCCTGACGTGGATTCCTCTCGCTTCGCGGGGTGCACGTCCGGAGCACGTACAGTCACGTCGTCGCGGAGCCTCTTGGGAGCCTCTTGGGGGCCTCCTGGAGGCCTCCTGGGAGCTTCCTTGAGCCTCTTGGGGCCAGGGTGGAAAAATTACATTACACTCCAGTCGCTATGTGGCCTCTGGGGGGCTTCTTTGGAGCCTTTGGGAGGCTTCATGAGGACATCTTGGAGGCCTCTTCTGGTTTTTTTGGGGGCCCTTGGGGGCCTCTTGGGTGCCTCTTGGGGCCTCTTGGGGGCGCCTTTGGCCGTATTGGGGCGCTTTTGCGCCGTTTCGCCCCTTCGGAGGCCGTCTTGGGGGCCTCTCGCGGCCGCCTTGGGGCCGTCTTGGGGTCTTCTTGGGCCGTCAAAGGGCCTCTTGGACCGTCTTGGGGGCCTCTTTGGGCTGTTTTGGGGTTCTGTTGGGCAGTATTGGGGCCCTCTTGGGGGCTTCTTGGGTTGTTCAGGAGCGAGTTGGGAAGGTACCTGGGCCGCAAAGGCGAGAACGCTAAAATCTCTTGGGCCGTCAGTGGGGCTTTTTGGGCCCTCTTGGGGCCGTCTTGGACCGTCTCGGGGCTGTCTTGGTCCGCGCAGAGCCCATCTGGAGCCGTCTTGGCACCCTTTTGGCCCTTCAAGAAGCCCAAGAAGTCGAAATCATGGATTTTCTATAGGTTTTGGTAGGTTTTTGAGCCCCGGGAGGGGGGGGGCACTTTGGTCCGCTCCTGTGGCGCAGCTCCCAGAGGGGGGGTTAATTAGGGGGGAGACATTAATAATGTAACACAATGCAACATGTGGCAATTATGCAATCATTGGATACATTGGGTACGTTGCATTATCGCCTCCGCAGAAAACTCTGCAGGGTGTTTCAGAGCACGTTCAGTCCAGTCGTTGTGGGGCCTCCTGGGAGTCTCTTGGGAGCTTCTTGGAAGTTTCTTAGGGTTTTTTTTTGAGCCTCTGGGGGGCCTCTTTGGAGCCTCTTGGGGACGTCTTGGGCCGTCTTTGGGCGCTCTGACGCCGCCTGGCCACTTCGGAGGCCACTTTGGAAGCCTCTCGCGGCCGCCTTGGGGCTCTCTTGGGGTCCTCTGGGGCCGTATTGGGTCTTTTTGGGCCGTCTTGAAGGTTTTTGGGGCCGTCTCGGGACCCTCTTGGGCCGTGTTGGGGCCCCCTTGGAGGCCTCTTGGGCCGTTTGGGGGCCTTTTTGGAGGCTGCTTGGGCCGTCATGGCCTTCTGAGAGCCGAAAAGGCGAACACGTTGAAATTGTCCCAAAACTATAAGAGAATCAAAGATTTTGGCCTCCGGAGGCGCTCCCGGGAGTCTTCTTGGGGGCCTCTTGGACTTTCTTGGGGGCCTCATGGGTCCTTTTGGAGCCATATTGGGCCGTCTTGAGGCCGTCTTGGGCTGTCTTGGGGCCATCTTGGGCCGTCTTGAAACTTCCTTGGGGCCCCAAGAGGCCCAAGAGGCCGAATTTGCTGATTTCTCATAGGTTTCTGATGTTTTTGAAGCCCAGAAGGGGTCCGCCACCTTTGGGTCGACGGAAGTGGCGTGGCCCCTGGGGGGGGGGTAGGGGGGGAGACATAATAATGTAACACAATACAATACGTTGCAATTATGCAATCATTGGACACATTGGATACGTTGCACTATCGCCTCCGCAGAAAACGCTGCCGCTCAGCACGTCACCTCCAGACGTGGATTCTACAGGCTAACGCCACATCCGCCGACCCCCTGAGTGTAGATTGTTTCCGATGGTTTGGGGGGCGTCCAGGGTGATGGTGATGTAGATGGACGCGAGAGGGTGGGTTTTTGGGGTGCGTCGGGGCATTTTGGGCCGTCCGGAGGCGGTATTGGGCTGGGCGTCTTGGAACGTTGTTCAGCGACTCGAGGCCTTCTCGGACCGTCTTGGATGCGTCTTGGGGCCATCTTCGAATGTCGGAGAGCCCTCTATTCCCCATGAGGGGGGGATCAATGAGGGGGATAATTGGGGGGAGGCACTTTTTGACGCCTAGAGCCCTTCAGGGGCTCGGCGGATTCATCCTCGCCCTGGATTCGGCATAGATTTGTGGAGGGCTCAAGTCATTTTGGCTCAAGCGGTTGAGCTTCAAGTATATATTCTAGCTCACCTTTTTGATCCAGGCGACTGTACCGCATCATTTTCTACAGCCCGCGATTGTTTTTGAACAGCGATGGACTCGCTGACGAGTCGGGGAACATCTCAGCGGATTCAAGTGGCGTCCCGCCTGGAAAATGCAGTTTCACCAGTGCCACCAGGCGGAGTACGGCCACGCCAACAACGGAAACTTGCGGATCTTCCGCGTCTTACCCCAACATAGCCGCGTTCGCACCATTCTCAGGTTCAGACGGTACTTTTGGTTCGTTGCCCAGTATGCAGCCACTGCCCACCATGCAGGAGTCCACCGTGAATTCGCTCCCCACCATGCAGCTCCTGCCGCCTTGCGAGCAGAGCGACAACGAGCAATTGGAGACCGACGACGAGTTCGACCACCCGCGCGGGCTCGGGCGGGCGGAAACCAGAGGAGGCTGCGCACCCGAGGACCCACCCGAGAACGCGCAGGACTCGGCCTGGGCGGGCCCCGGCGCCGCCCAGCTGGCTCCCCGCGAGCGCCCGCCTGCTCGGGCAGCCAGCGGCGCGCCCCCGCTCCACGGCGGCGCCGGAGCAGCGCCGACCAGTGCGCCCGGCATGCCGCCGCGTTCCGCCGCCGGGGCGGCGCCTGCCGGGAGGTCCCGGCAGGCGGAGCCCGCCCGCGCCGGGGGCGGGGCAGCGCCCGGCGCGGGCCTCGCGGCGCAGGCGGGGCGGCCGATCTGCGGCGGCCGCGCAGGAGCCTCCGGCGGCAAGCTCGCGGCCGCCAGCAGGGCGCTGGAGATGCAGCGGGCCAGGATCCTGGAGCTGGAGCAGCTGCAGGCAAAGCTGCAGCAGGAGGTGCAGGAGGCCAGGCAAAGAATTCTCCAGCAGGAGGCCGACCTGACGGAGCTAGAGCTCCAACAGGATGAGCCCGTGGCCAGGGCGCTGGTGCCGATGGAGAAGGCAGCGCCCGTCGCCCCTGGCGCTCCAGCCATTACCACGCTCGTGATCCGCAACCTTCCAATGGCTGTGACGCAGGGCGACCTTCTGGTCCTCATGAACCAGTCTGGCTACGCGAACCGCTATGACTTCGCCTACGCACCAACGGACTTTCACGCTCGGACTACGAAGGGTCACGCGTTTGTGAACTTTATCACCCCGAGTGACGCCCTCGAGTTCATCGCCGAGTGGAACGGGTCGCGGCTGGCCATGGCTGGACCCGCCGCGCCCGTCCTCGAGGTCATGGCGGCACAGTTGCAGGGCTACGAGGAGAACGCCAGGAGGTGGAGTGCGAGGCGGCTGCGTCGCACGAAGAACCCTGAGCTCCACCCTTTCTTCGCCCAGAGGTGAACATTCGGCTGCACAAATCGAGTGTGAAAAAGTGATGAAGGTGGAGAGCAATAAACGTTGATGATGAGGAGCTCACCTTGACCTTAAGCTCTCATGTATGGGTTGGGTGTCAAACTATCCCGAGGTGATCGGTGGCATATTGGCGTTCTGGCATTATTTGAGTTTTTTCACGAACTTGCATTCCTTGTGTGCTGGTTCTGCTTTTTGAACACGGCCGTGTCGACTGGGATCGTTCTGGTGGTGAAACATCCGCTGATCTCCATACCGTTCCATCCGCCGTTTTATCTCTCAGCTTACCTCCATATAGTTCCATGTCGTGTCCTCACCATTTCCATGCTCCGTTTTTGTTGGTCGTGCTCACGAGGGCCTCGGTCTGGGCGTTGTCCAGTCAGATCGGCCTATGCACTCCAATCTGAGCATGGCTCGAGCATGTTGAGACTATGCCTTGTACAAGTTGTCATTTAGACAGCAGTTCGACACTGCGTTGACTCGCGTTGCTGCGAACGCAGGACAGCCCCCTTGCTCTTCCTCGTCGTCCTCCTTCTCCGTTTTTTCCCGCGTTGCCTTTTTGCAGATCGGATCATGTTTCATTCTGGGTTGAGCCGTGCGGGCTCCGACGCCCGAATGCGGCTCCGACCTGCTGGCGTGACGCGAGCATCGCTAACAGCATGCCCCAAAAGAAAAAAAAAGATTTGTGGAGGGCGATCAATGGAGAGGAAGCATGTTGCCAAATAATTTCCAGATGTTTGAAATATGTGTTGAACATGTCTTGAACATGTAAAAACATGTTTAGAACATGTTTAGAACATGTTTCCGACATTTCAAACACATTTTCAATCCAATGATCGGATTGTTAGAGTGTCCACTGCCATGGCATCCACAAGCTTAGATGCATCGCTTCGCATGCATGTGCAGTCAAGGCGCTGAAACAGAGGACTATCCTTTGTTCAGAGGGGGGGCTCTGCCTATTCGGGCCGCTCCCCGGACCTACAGGTATGGGAGCCCTCTTGTGGCCGAGGCTCGCCGTGGCCAGGCAGGTCCTGCCGTTCTTCACGGCCAGACCCGATGCCCTCGTGAATGTCAATGCGTGGCCCCCCCAAGGTCCAAAACGTGTCTCCAGGTCCCCATTCATCCCGGAGGTGGATAGACCTCCTACCCTGACACGTCGATTAAGGAATTGGCCGTTTTCGGTTCGCGAGAGGGCGTCGCTGCCGTTACTTTTGCGGGTCCAGATCCGTCGGTTTCGGTCCCAGGCTGTTTTCACTAAGGGGAGGTTTACTACAGGGAGATTTGTACGCCGCCGATCATCCTGAGTCGTTGCCTGGCGGTCCTGGGGCCCGGCGAGTGCCCCTCACGAAAGCACCCGTGTTTTTTGGCAAAACGTCGGAGGCCTGTCGTTGCGGGGTACCCGACCCCCGAGCCAGTCCGCCGGGCCGGTCTTGGGGGTCGCCGCGACGATCGTGGCGGCCACAAATGGGGGCAAGCTGTTGTCAAGGAGTGGCGTGTTCCTTCACAACCTCCATCGTTGCGATGTAGACGTGGTTCGTATGTAGCAAATCAGCGGCAGAGAGTTGTGCAGTCATGTTTTTCGTGGTGGGCGACGATTATCACGTAACCAGTCTGGGTCGTGGCATCGTGCCCATTTGTTCCGTACGGCAGGTTCGGGTCTTGTCCACATGGCGGCGACCCCAGCGCAGGCGTTCAAGCTTGAGCGCCGCGGGTCGCCAAGAATCGGCTTGCATGGGATGGCCTGGTGATTGAAAACCCGCTGGTCGCCCAAGGTTGTCAGAAACCAACGCCGGGTCGTCACGACATGAACATACCATACCCAGTTTGGGGGTGCCAACTGGTCGGGCGCATTTTACCCGCCCGTGGACGTTGTCGAGTGCAGCACTGGTCTCTGCACACAGGTTTGTGCCGCCTCGACGCGGCGACGACGCCAGCGCGGGAGTTCAGAATGGGACTCCAAGAGATATTCTGGAAGAGCCCATTTCCGGTTCAAGTACCGGCAGAAGACAAACCACGGCGCGAACCATGCGAAAGATCGCAGCGGGCAGCGTTCGAGGTTGGAGGGTCGTTCAGGAGCGTCTTGGAGCAGTTTTCTTCGGGGGCATCTTGGAGCAAACTGGGGCCGTCTTGGGGCCCTTGTGGGCCATTTAGGAGGTTTCTTGGCCCGTCCTGTTTGAGGTTCGCTTGGACCGTTTTGGAGCCCTTTTCGGGGCCTCTTGGGCCGTCGTGGACGTTGTGATAGCTCACGAGGCGCATATGCTAAAGGGAATGGGACACGTTTTGCTTCTTGAAGTTCTGTTTGGAAGCCTCTTGGAGGCCTCGTAGGGCGTCTTGGGAGATCGTTGAAGGCTGTCTAGAGGCTACTTGGATGAGCAGTCTGGAGGCGTCTTGAGGCCGAAGGCTCGAAACGTCCGTTCGGATTCCCTTTCGGGCACCCAGCTGGGGCCATCCCTGGGCCCTTCTGGACCGTCTAGGGAGTGTCTTGGCCCGTCTTGGAGTTTCTTGGGTTGTTTTGGAGCTGTCGTGGGGGACTCTTGGGCCGTCGTGGATGCTGTGATAGCCCATGTAGCGCATGTTTTTTTAAATTTCCGTTTTCCGAAGGGAGTGGGATTGTTGAAGCTCTCTTTGGAAGCCACTTGGGGCGTCTTGAGAGAAATGTCGGCTGTCTGGAGGCTATTTTGAGCGTCCTGGAAGAGCAATCTGGGTGCGTCGCAGAGCCGAAGGCTCGAAAAATCCGTTTGTTTTCTCTCTCGGAGACCCCAGCTGCAGCCGTCCTGGGGCCCTGTTGGGCCGCCAATGAGGTTTCTTGGACCGTCTTGGGGTTATCTGGGGCCGTTGTGGAGATCTCTTGGGGATCTGGTGTGCCGTCTTGGACGTTGTAGCCCAAGAGGCATGTTGCACGTTCCCCTAAGGGAAGGGGCGATTTGTTGCTTCTGGAAGTCCTTTTTGAAAGCCTCTTGGAGGCCTCTTACGGCGTCTTGGGAGGATTGTGGGCTGTTTGGAGACCATTTCGGGCGTCTTGGAACGATCTTTTGTCGCCGATGCCCTTTGGACCGTCTTGCGAGCCTTTTGGAGCCCTTTTGGCCTGTTTTGGAGCCCTCTATCCCCCCCATGACGCGTTCGTCTCGGGGTCGTCCCTGGGGGGGGGAGAGAACGACGATGGGGAAGAGCCTCATACGCTCAGAGACCCACAAGGGGTCGGTGGATAGTCATGGGCTGGCAATTGGTTCCTATTCCTATGCGACCCCCAGAGCTGTCAGGATGGAATCCCGAGGGGGTCGTGGGCGTGTGCTGTTGCATGGGCATCCCCGCTCGAACGGGCCCCCCCCCCAGGGTTTCGACAACCCGCGCCCGTGCTTGAAGCGCGCCCTACGGGTATGAGGGTGTGCTGCCCGTTCATCAGCAAGGATCCACCTGTCCAGCCTGACTCGTCCATTAAGGTCCGCCCGCTCGACCCGACCCGCCTGCCTGAATCGCTGGCCAATTCGATGAGCCATGGTAGCTTCATGTTCCGCTAGCTCCGTTGCCATTTGAGCGACGCAAGAAATCGGGGTCGTCTGCGCCGACATTGGCGCGTAAGTTGTCCGCGTAAGGTCGCGCGTAAGCGCCCAAGTCTCCAATGCAGCGTGCCGCACTGGTGGCCCGCGTAAGCTGCGGCGTAAGGTCCCTGTGTCATGATCGTCGCTCATTTTGGCTCAAGAAGGCCGGCTGCGAACCCGCTCCCCCCGAGCCGGCGGACGGCGCCGGTGTTGCGGCGCCATGGGTGGCCTCTCGCGCCTCGTCGCCTCCCTGGGCGCGCTCCTCCACGCGGACGTGCGGGGCGCGGTCGCCTATGTGGACGTGATGTCCGCGGACGGCGGCCTCGAGGCGGAGGAGGAGGAGGAGGAGGAGCAGGAGGAGGAGGACGAGGAGGATGAGGAGGAGGAGGAGGAGCAGGAGGAGGAGGAGGAGGAGGAGCAGGAGGAGGAGGAGGAGGAGCAGGAGGAGGAAGGCCGCTGAGCCTCGCGTGCTGCGCGGCCCCCCCGCCGCGAACGGAACGGAGGCGCCAGCGCCCGGCAGGCGGCTGGAGGCTTCCCAGGGCTGCCAGCGTTGCTGCAGGGAGGAGGAGTGTGACCTGGCGTGGAAGGGCATGGCGCAGGGGCTGTGCTGCACCAGAGGCTCCGAGGTCCAGGCTTCGGAGATGTACTGCTGCCCGAGCTCCAACGGCTGTGGCCCAGCCTTCCAGTGCCCCGCGTCTCCGGCAGGAGCGTCAGGCCCATTTGTGCACCACGGCGGCAACAGCTTCTCCCACAGGTCACCCGGGCTCCTGGGCATGCTCCTCCCGCTGCTTCTGCTAGTCTGCGTCTGCTGCGCGCTGAGTCAGCTCTGCAACAAGCAGGGACATGGCGGCGGCTACGGAGGCGGCCCGACGGGCGGCGGGTACCCTGTGAGCGGCGGCTACGGCGGCTACCCCATGGGCGGCGGCTACGGTGGAGGCGGCTATGGGGCCGGCACCGTTGGCGCGGCGGGGCTCGGCGGCCTACTCGGCGGTATGTTTCTCGGCGAGCAGCTCGCCCACGCCGGCGGCGGGGGCTACGGCTACGGAGGCGAGATGATGGACTACGGTGGCGGAGGCGGAGGGTTTATGGCGGCCGACGGCGGCGGAGGCGGCTTCATGTCCGCAGACGGAGGCGGCGGCGACTTCTGAGCGGCTGGCCAGCTGGCGCCCCGATGCTGGGGGGAGGGACTGGGGGAGTATCAGAAAAGAGGGCGGAGGGGCGCCGCGACCGCCTCGCGCCTGCGTCGCCCAGAGCTGTCCGCTGTCCTGGCCTGCAGCCTTTTCACCCGCTCCCCGGAGCACGCCAGGACGGGCCCATATGCCGTTGCCGATGGCAGGCCAGTAGCCTCTTCCTGTGTCGCCGTGCGCCTGGCTCGTGGCGGTCCGAGACCATACGGGCTGTCCCCACGCTTGACCGCTAGTTAATAGAGGAACGAACAATGACATAAACAAATAAACTTGGAGGTTCGCGCGGATTTCTCGGATCGGCGCTGGACCCCCCATTTCTGGCGCGCGGAGCGCCCCAGGGGCGGGGCTGGAGGCGCCGCCGGGGGGCCCCAGCGTCGATCCGAGGGATCCGCGCGGACCTCCGAATTTCTATGTTTATGCCATTTTTCGTTCCTCTATTGACCGCGGGTCAGCCAGCCCCTACCATCTCCGGCAGGAGCACGGGCGCGGCTGCCATGCGCGGGGCGGTCGAGGGCAGTGTTCTCCGGTTGACAGGGCGCCCGGAAGGAAAAAAAAGCTTCATGTTCCGCCAACCCAGCCCGATCCGCCTGTTAGGGTCCGCCCGCCCGACCCGCCTGCCCGAATCGCTGGCAAATTCGATGAGACATCATAGCTTGACGTCCCGCCCGATCCGCCCGTCAGGGTCCGCCCTCCCGCCCCGACCCGCTCTTCAGGGTCTGCCCGCCCGACCCGACCCGCCCGCCCGTGCCCGCGCGTCCGACCCGCTCCGCCCGTTAGCAGACCCTCCACCTGGAGACCTTGGCACGCCCGCGGCCTCGGCGTCGCGCAGTGGGGGGGGGGGGCGACGAGCGGGGGCGCAGCGAGGGCGGCAGAAAAGGGGCCCCTCGGGCCCCTGAGAAGACTCTCCCCTGGCATCGCTCGGACGTGTGCATTTTTTTTCTCGGCGAGAACCATCGAGGACCATCCTGGACCATCGCGCAAAAAAAATACGCACGAAACCGAAAAATGCACGGGAAATGGACGTCCGAGCGATGGCAGGTCTCCTGGGCCCAAGCGGGGGCACCCAGGGCCCGAGACGTGCACCTTTCTTCCCCCCCATTGGTCGCCCCCCCTTCTGCGACGACCAATTGGCCCGACTTGCCGGCGGGTTACAGCAATGGGTGTTGGGCGTTCCAGCTCTCCACCATAAGCCCGCACACGTCAGTGCACTCCAGAGAGTCGTCCGATGTTATTCGATGATGATAATGATGATGCTGCTGATGATAATTATGATGCTGATGATGATGTTGATAATGTTGTTGATGCTGATGCTGATGCTGATGCTGATGCTGCTGATGATGATGGTGGTGATGATGATGATCATGATGACGATGACGACGACGACGACGCTGGTGGTGATGATGATGGTGGTGGTGGAAAGGATAATAGTGGATGATGATGATGCTGCTGCTGAGGATGATGCTGCTGATGATGATGATGATGACGGTGGCGATGATGATGTTGATGATGCTGATGACGATGATGATTCTGATGTTAATGATGATTCTGATGGTGGTGGTGATGATGAGGATGAGGATGAGGATGAGGATGAGGATGAGGATGAGGATGAGGATGATGGTGGTGGTGGTGGTGATGATGAGGATGAGGATGAGGATGATGATGATGCTGATGATGATGATGATGGTGGTGGTGGTGATGATGATGATGACGATGATGATGATGGTGATGATGGTGATGATGGTGATGATGGTGATGATGGTTATGATGATGATGATGGTGATGATGGTGATGATGGTGATGATGGTGATGATGGTGATGATGGTGATGATGGTGATGATGGTGATGATGGTGATGATGGTCATGATGGTCATGATGGTCATGATGGTCATGATGGTCATGATGGTGATGATGGTGATGATGATGATGCTGACGCTGATGATGCTGATGCTGATGCTGATGATTATGATGATGATGCTGATGATGATGCTGATGATGATGATGACGATGACGATGACGATGACGACGACGATGACGATGACGATGATGATGATGGCATGATGATGATGATGATGATGATGATGATGCTGATGAGGATGATGGTGGTGGTGATGATGAGGATGAGGATGAGGATGAGGATCAGGATGAGGATGAGGATGAGGATGATGATGGTGGTGGTGGTGATGATGATGATGATGATGATGAATATGATGATGATGATGATGATGATGATGATGATGATGATGATGATGATGATGATGATGATGATGATGATGATGATGATGATGATGATATTTGTGCCCCACGGTCATGACCCGACCTCGTCATCCGTTCTCCGCTCTGTAGCGCTTCTTGGTTCAAGACAGGAACCATATGGAAGCTCTGCTCCTCAGCTTCTCGACGATTCGCGAGCTTGCTTTTCTCCGCACTCTCTTGTGGCCTGCGCCCGTCGAGTGCTTCTGCGAGGCGCCACCCCCAGTGGACACCGCCAGCAGGGAGTGCCGTCTCTTGGCGGAGTTGGTCGGCCGCGCGAACCAGTGCGTCTGCCAGTGCCACTGCCACTGCCACTCCGAGAGCGTCGACGGGTTTGGCCTTCTCAGCGTGCTCGGGCTTCTGACGATTTGCTCGTTCACGGCCTTTGTGTTCGGACTGTTGTTCGGCCGCAGCTCGGGGCGCAAGAGTTCGAGTCCGTCTTCATCGGTCGGCGACACCGTCTTGACACTCACGTGCGAGGATGGCGACGCCAGCGTGGTTCCAGGCAGCCCGCCCCGGCGACCGGGTCCTCGTCTGCTACTCTCAGGACGCGGGCGGGGCGGCAGTGGGGTGGCATGAGCGCGTCTTGGTCGGCCACGTCAGCGGCTCCAAGTGGGTCGCGATCTCGCGGGACTTCGATATCTTTGAGGAGGATTTCGCCGAGGCCGATGGGCTGCGGCAGTTTTTGGCCAACGGGCAGTTGCCCGCCGCTCTTCGTGGGCTTCCACACTCTCTGATCGATCACTACCAGTTCGGCTTGGACCGCCAGTGCTACATGGAGACGGGGGAGGCGCTCGCGCGGGGCCTTCGGCCCGCCGCGCCGGTGGCGCCAGGCCCCGCTCCCAGAGGCGGGGGCTCAGGCGCGCTCGTCCCGGCTGAGGGCGCCGCCCCCTTGGTGGAGAAGTGGTTTGCGCTGGAGGGCCGGGGCGCCGTGCAGCGGGGCGACGCTCTCACGGCCGCTCTCGGGGCGGTCGAGTTCAGCTCCAACGACCGGTGCCTCTTCAAGCTGCTGGGCGGCACGGTGCTGTCCGGCGGGCTCGAGGGCACGCTGCCCGCGGCTCCCGGTGCTGCGGGAGGTGACGACTCCCGCATTCTGCCCGCCAAGCGGGATGGCCAGCGGCGTTTCCGGCGCACCTTTGCGAGCGCCTTGCAGGACATGCAGCTCGTCGAGTTCAAGGATAGCTGGGAGATCGAGGGCCCGCGGTCGGCCTACTTCACGGCGGAGCGGATCCACGACGGGAACCACAGCCCCGTCCAGCGGCACTACTGGTGGCGCTCGGTGATGGGCTTGTCGGCCACCGACGTGGGCGTGGACGAGCACCTGCTGCTGTCACAACTCATCGAGGTCGCGATGACGGTGGACCAGGTGCAGATCTGCAACTTGGCGGCGTTCGAGCTGGTCAGCCGCCGGTACCAGATGCGGGAGAGCGCTTACAAGGATTTACTTCGCGAGGTGGACAACGGCGGCTCGGGCGGCGACGACTGGCTGAATGAGCGTTCTCTGTTTCTCGGTGTCAAGAATCGTCGGAGCAGCGCTATCATCATGCCCGAGCTTGAGGATTTCGTGGCGAAGGAGTTGGCCTCCCGGGCCGCTGTGCTCAAGAAGCGCCGCAAGGCGAGGGAGGAGGCTTCGTTGGCTAAAGGAGTTGGGGCGGGACCTGCAGCGGCTGACCCTAAGAAGAAGCCCAAAGGTCCCAACAAAGAGAAGGAGAAGGCCTGACGGCCTGTATTCCTCCTGTCTTGTGCCGCCGCGAGTGGGAGTGCCCCGCCTCCTCGAGGGCTTTCGCGAGGGGTTCAGGGCTGGCAGGTGGTGCCGCCCTGAGGCGTTTTTAGCTTTGCAGCAGATGAGGCAGCGCGACGTCCTGCCGATCTCCCTGGCCGCCGCCTCGGAGGTCTGTGCGGGGGGTGCCAGCGGGCTGGGCTTGCCCCAGAGTCAGCGACGGCGACTTCGGCGTCGACGGGCCCAGGAGGGGTGGCTGTTCGAGGGCATCCGCGCCTTGAACGAGTTGGGTGCTCCGCTGCCGCCTGCGACTTCGCCTGCGTCGTTGACTTCAGCTCAGGTCTCAGCCGTTCGGCACCTTGCCCGGCAGTGTGGATCGGTCGCGGCTCCCCCGCCTGACTGCGGGGGCGCCCTGGGGGCGTGGCAGACGCTCCAGGGCTCGCGGCCCGGCTACGCGGACGACGCGTTGGCCGTCGGTGCTCGCGCGAATTTCGAGCGAGGGAACGTGTCGCTTCCCGCGGAGCTTTCTGGGCGAGTATCTCTGAGTTAGTGCCTGCCGCCTGCCCTGCAGTCCGCGCTTGAAGATCGTTCAATCCTTCTTTCTGAGGACGAGGCCGCCGCCCGTCGTGACAGTTTTGATGGCAGCCGGTTCCTTGATCCTGTTCTGCGGGGCAACCCTAGACTTTTTGGAGAGTTCGTTTCCGAACTCTGGGGTGCTGGCGTTGTGGAGGTCAGCGACGATGTGCTCGAAGAGAGTGGCATGTTTTTGGTTTGAAAAAAATCAGGCGCCCTTCGTCTGATTTGGGATACTCGTGTGCCCAACCTTCGGTTTCGCGAGCCCCCTGGTGTGGTCTTGCCCTCCGGCGAGGCCCTCGCTCATCTCGAATGCCAGCCTCATGTGATTCCCGTGCTGCACGGGGGCGACGTCGAAGTTTGCTATTACCAGTTCGCTCTCCCTGAACAGTACAGGTGTTTTTTCGGCCTGCCATCCCTTCCCATTGCGCACCTGTCCCCGGCCCTCGTCGCTTCTCTGCCGGACGCGGTTCGGGAACGCGGTTGGGCTCGCTTGCGGGCCCTCGTGGTGCCCATGGGTTGGAATTGGGCTGTGGCCCTCGTACAGGCCGCGAACCAGCACCAGCTAGATGGAGTTCCCCCGAGGCCCCGTGGCTCCTAGATAGAGTCCCGCTCCCACCTCTTGGCGACGTTGGGTCGCGTCGCGGATTGTATATCGACAACTTCGTTTCCCTGGCCCAGAGTAAGTCGGTTGCTACCTCGGACGCCTTGGGAATGCAGTCTCGGCTCGCGGACCTCGGGATCGCGTCGACCCTGGAGAGCTCGGAGGCGGGGGACAATGGCTTCATAGGTTTCACTTTGGTGGGCTCCTCGGGTGAGTGGCGCCCTAAATCTAGTCGGTTCTGGAGGTTGAAGTTGGCGTCGGATTATCTCTCGGAGGTTCGACCGAGTATCACGGGGCAGGAGCTCGAGCGTTTCGTGGGCCATGTCACGGCTTTGTTTTCGCTTTCCCCGGAGCTCTTGTGCCTCATGGAAAAGGTCTATATCTTCATTCACGAGAGTTACACCCGCCGTCAGCCTTTGTGGCCGTCTGTACATCGCGAAGTTCGGTGGATACGTGCTCTGCTTCCTCTGGCTCGTGCGTC